GACGGAAAGTGATTTGAGAATAAACATTATTTATTAGGATGTGTGAGATTCATTACTTCAGTGGCTTTTCTTATCGACCTGGTAAAAATATCTAGCTACTAGGACCATCAAGCATAACGCCGAGCCTGTGCATGGCGGTGAACCGGATGGGAGTTTTCAGAGATTCGCATCTTTAATGGATGAAACACGTCAGTCTTGAAATCAACGATAGGTAAACTGGTCATCACACAGACCTATCATGAAGATTACAAACCATTTTGGCTTGTGGCAAAACTGGCATACAGAGGAAACAGGCAAGTGTTGCGGTCTCTTCAAAAGACGATTTCAATCAAGTTCTGCTAAACTCCCTGTCCTTTACAATCTGCAGGACCTGCACTGGATCCTGTAGCGGCTCCTTCAGGAAGGCCCTCATGAACCACAGCCAAGTCAGGCCAGCAACCTGGCTAATGATGACCATCAGTAAGATTCCAGTCTTTATGTAATCGGGAGCAAGATAGTACGTGTGCCACCAAATCGCCCAGCAGCAATACACCACACTCTCCGCGACCTGGACGACAGGTTCGTACATGGAATTATAGGTGTACTTTTCCATCGCGTCGCTGTAGAGCTCTATGTTTTTCCTCACTTTGGCGTACGTGATGTGGGCTGCGATGCTGATGAGCCCGACGATCTTGGCGGAGACGTAAGCAAAGACAGCGATGCGCAACCACGTCGTGCCGATGGCGCACACGACGATGGTCCTGCTCACTGTAGGGGAGAGAACTCGTTGTAAGTCGCTTCTCAAATCGAGTAATCTACGTTGATGTAAATATGCCCTGTAAATTAATAACGTTAAACAAACTGATATTGCATATGTGCGTGTGTGTGTGTGCGTGTGTGTGTGTGCGTGTGTGTGTATGTGTGTGTGTGGTACAGAACCCCAAAATGCATAAACAAAACAATGAAAATGAGACAACAGTTTGATTTTAACTTTAGGTCTAAAGAGGAAATGGAGTGGAAGGAGTATAAGTGAGAGAGAGGAGAATCAATCAAGGTTTATATATAATCAAACTCTCTGAGTCTAGCCGCCGCGGTGATTGGATGTGTTTTTGCTTCCCTTCCGCTGCAGCTCTGCAACTCGGCAAACCATGCCTTCTCATGATCCTGCAATGTCAGAGGGTAATCTGACCCCTCCCCCCAATTTGAGGTGGCCAACCAGAAGGCCTTCCTGGTGCTTCCTCGGGCAGCTAGCACGAGCTTTTATCCTCAGAGTGAAATATATATACTTGGCCCAAAGTAATGTGTCCCCCTCCCAGGGTACCGGAACCTCAGCCCTAGGATATGCCCCCCCCCGGCAGCATGGATCAGAGTGCCTCCCCGCCCACGAGGATGGGCACCCCCATGGCAGCCAGGGTCAAGGCTGCCACCCCGGTCAATTGTATGGGGCCCGCCCGTTAGAAGTAACCACACCAGCAGTGAAAGCTGTGTGAGCAGTGTAAAGTAGTTTGAAAAAGCAATCTATAAAAGTGCTGAACACAATTCTGTTTTTCATTGCTACAAAAAGTCTTGGGCAAGGTCGGTCATCTGTAATCAAATCAGAAAATATTACAGGCCGGCTGTAATCAAATAAGCCCATGACATTGTAATCAGTTTATCCGACCCCAGAAAACCCAGGGACACGACACGGGACACCAAACGGATGACTGTATGTTTTGATAATCAAAACATAGTGTTCGCAACTTCAACTTCAACGGGTCTTCCCGCAACAGACTGCTCATCACCTAAAAATTAGGTATTTTTACTCCTTTTGTTAAAAGTTTACAGATGAGCACAGACCAAGAAACACAAACCTATAATGGGCCCTCCTTCATGGATCAAAATCTGATCGAGAACAAAATCGACTAGATGATCGGAATGTTCTCCGAACAACAATCGGCTATTAATATCATTGGGCAAAAACAAGTAGAGGAGGCATCGGTCACAGGAAAACCGATCCCACCCTAACTTCCATCCCCCACCGTGATCAGACTACGTACGAAACCTTTCCTTTCACATCTCCCCCCTCAGTCACAACGCCCCATACCTCCACCCCAAACCCCTAGAACAATGATAAAACATGGAAAATAGCTAAAACACTAGTGCCTGACAGCAAACATCACACAAGTGATTGTACAAATCCTATACAAAACAAAGCATTTTAATTATATCTTTTCAAAAATTGAAAAAAACTGCTTCTACATAACAAAAGACACATCGGGCAAGGCTCACAATTATTTTTTTTTCAGACCACAACTACTGGACGTAGAAACACTCATCTTGGTAATAAAACCTTTGCGGAACAAATGTTGTAGGAGCAGACGGTATTGATTTGCGCTTTATCAGAGATAGTACGCAACTGCACATTATTCACACATTCATCACACACAAGTCGGGTGATATAGACGATGTGAATAATTATCGCCCTATTACTATACTCCCTATATTATTCAAAATCATTGAAAATTTGCACAAAATCAACTGACGAGTTTCCTAAATCGCAATATGGTTTTAGAAATAGGTTATCTACTGAAACAGCTTTACTGCGAATTACTGATGAGATTTATAATCAGGTAAATTCCCTCACAATGTCCGACTTTCTAAAGCTTTTGACAGTGTCAACCATGAAATTCTCAACAAATTAGTAAATCATAAAATTGATACCTTTTGGTTTATGTTCAGATACAAGGGCCCAATCGGTAAGAATCAATGATAGTATATCATCAAAACAACAAGTACCTTCTGGTGTTCCGCAAGGATCTATTTCAGGTCCAGTCCTATTTACAATTTTACACTTCAGTGAAAAATATAGGCGTACACTTAGATTCATGACAAAATACACAGGGAAGTAGTGGGCACACTAGTATATCTTAATCACATAAGAAATCTAATCACTACTGAAACTAGA